TGGGGTGAGGGCCGAGCACGCGTCCCGCGCGTTGCGTTGCGTGGCGTGGCGTGGCGTGTTGCTGCCTCGGAGCTTCGTTTTTTTTTTCTCGCTGATGGGGGAGCCGGGGGGAAAGGTGCTGTCGCTCGCACGCTTGGCTTTGCTTCCACCTACCGGCTCCGGCCTCGCCGCCCACCGCACCGACGGATGTGACGCGTGTGCGGCTGCGGCGGTGTGATCCGGCGCTCTTCTCCTCTCTCTTTTTTCGTTTTATTTCTTTTATTAATTATTACTTCGCGGGGAGGCACGGTGTGTGATCCGGTTTCGGCTGGGGAGGGCGGGACCAGACTGAATTGTCACCACTATCTACTTTTAATCCACTTTTCATCTTGTACAAACTTGCAAGCTGCACTTTCTTGGAAATTTTTCGTGCAAAGCTGCTTCTTGCCCAATTAAACCCATTAAACCCATTAGGGTATGTACAATAGTGGCATATGGATACATATGTCTCATGACAAAAAGTAATTTGAGGCATCTACATTAATTTTTTCTCTCCAATGCAAGCTATCACTAGTGGGCCTCATTAAGAAATAGAAAATAAAGACTCTACTACACATGCATCTCTATTTTTCACTTCAATCTTTTCAGCTTTTGTCACCGGATCACACTTTTTCTATTCAATCACCCGCCTCCTGAAGAGGATCCCGCTTCCCTATCCGAACCTACTTTACGTCATATCCGGTCTTATATGGCATGCGAGGCATCACCTTGAGGCTATGCATTGTACATGCCCTTAGGCCCTTTCCAGTGCTCCACGGTGGACAGATGCTAGGCATGCCACATAAGCAGAAAAATAACATAGCACAACATTTAATGAGGGGAGAGAACACTTTGGTGACCCCAGGAAGAACCAGTGCCAAGCACGAGAACCTAGGGAAACCACTTAAATGAAACAACTTGACCAATGCATGAAAGACTTTAGGTGATAACTCATTAAATAAAGTGTGTTTAGCAACAACAAGTAAGCACCTATGCATTAGGAAGATGAGTTGCTAAGGTATTTAATGCACTTAGCACCTTATCTAAGTATTTTTGCATTGAAAGAGGTCTTAAGGGCATGTACAATGATGCTATCTTAGGAGTGCCACGTAGGATAGATAATGAGGTGGAGGAGAGAGAACTCATAAAAAAAGGTTTGTCTTCTCTTATTTAAGAGAAGACAAGAGGTGATCTCTTAGCACAATATGTCTCACCATATTTTTAGGAATTGCTACTTATTAAAGATAAGGCTAAGAGATGATCCATTGTAGACAAAAAAAATTGTCATCTCTAAATCACATACAAGACTTAAGATAAGACTATCTTATCAACCATTGTACATGCCCTAAGAGGCCCTAGAATGGTGGCCAACCAACTATGCCATGTGGCGCATGCTGGTTGGTCACGGTGAGAAAGTTATTTTTAGAGTTTTTTAAGTGGTAGGGACACTTCTTTGGAGAAGTTTTTCTAGTTTCTTTTTCTTTTTCCTTTTAAAATGGTTTGATGTCCACGTGACGGTGTGACACGAGAATATTTTTTAAATTTTTTGACATGATGATAAGATGCGCATAGTTTTTTCTTAAGCGGCCCGCAATGGCAGACCCCAACCATTAGTAATTAAAGAAAGATGCCGCATTTGGTTGGCATTTATTCAATATACTATGAAAAGGATCCGCTGACATGTCGCAATCTAAATTATTTCGTTAGATAAACTTCTGATATATTCACCATATGTGATGGGAGTACCAGGAACACCAAAAATAACAAAAATTACATGAAGGCTTGTAAACCACCAAGCGACGACTATAAGCACTGGAGCACGCCAAAGTCACGTCACTGTCATCGCCCCTCTCTCATCGAAGCGGGGGCAAGACCTGGCATAGTAAACAGTCGGAAAGTCGTCGTGCTAAGGCTTCGCAAGACCAACACGTCAAAACAACAACTGTCACTGATGGATAGAAGCATATATTCAAAGAATCCAACATATAGACACAAGAACAAAGACTGCATCCATAAAGATGCACAAGAAACAAACACCGACTCAATCCCACGAGATCCACCAGAAACCTTCACATACCCTCCGACGACGCTAAACGCGCCGCTAGGACGGGGGCTATGCGGGAGGACATTATCCCGTCTTTAGTGAGTCGTCACCGCCTCGCCTTATTGAGCAGGGCACATTCTCAAATCGACCTAGAAAACACCTAAAAACGGAGCAGTAACCCTCCCACCGGCAACGGCTAGGGTCCATCGTACATCCATGGCCATAAGGCCGCCAAAGGCGAGGCGGACCAATGACGACGCCGACAGGAGGCAGAGAAACCCTAGTCGCCGTCACAAAAGGAGGCGAAGATGTACACGTCATGGTTAGTTGCAGTAACTCCTTTGTTGAATGAAGCTTTCCCTTTTCTCTAGACTCTTCCAAACTATAACCGTAGAGATTGGAGATATCTATAATAACCTTCCCACAATTCCGGGTGTCCTCTTCATTGCAATATTATAGCTTACCCAGAAACAGTGTCATACACCAATTTCATCCGACAGTTAATTTGTAAGATGTTTCACAAGCTTTTAAACTTTTTGATAGACTGTTGGGTTGCAAGTTTCTACAACATGCATCAGAAGAAAAAGAAAAGGTAAGGAACGTGTTACATGTGTGACACCAAAACTAAACCTAGAAATCAGAAGTTTTTTTTTTGCAATACAACGAACACTGGAAAATAAAAAAAATACATCTAGATTCGTAGACCATCTAGCGACGAGCCGTCGACTATTGAATCGAGCTGAAGGCTGCCGCCGTCATCACCCCTCCCTTTCCGGAGCCGGAAAAACTTGTTGTAGTAGATAGTCAGGAAGTCGTCGTATTGAGGCCACATAGGAAAAACGCACCAGAACAACAACCGCCGTCTATTAAAAGTAGCATAGATCGGAAGGGCCCAACCTAAAAACACACAAACGTAGACAAACGACGAACATATTCGAGCAAATCTATCAAAGAAAGATCCGCCGGCGATACGGCTCCGCATGCCCACTGACGATGCTAAACGCACCAACGGGATGGGGCTAGGCGGGGAGAACCTTATTCCATCTCCAGGGAGCCGTCATCGCCTCGTCATTCTGAACAGGACACAAACCCTAACAAAACTCAAAGAAATATCTAAAAACCGAACACCCCACCGGCAAGGGTTGGGATCCACCGCGCCCCATGGCCCTAAGGCCATCGGAGACGACACGAAACGGCGCGACACGTGGCGGGAGGCAGAGAAACCCTAGGCTTAAGCGACCATTTTTCATCTGTTGCATCTAATTGACATGAATCGGCACACTTACACATTCTCGAAATGAAAAGATAAAAAATCTCCAATGTGATTGTTTGCCTTGAGAAAATATATTCGAGGATGTTTTCATAAACACTAAACAAGTAACTTTTTAATTCCTCATGATGGATTAATACATCTCGTTGGATCTTAAAAAGAACTCTTGCTGGGCGTTCTCAGGGGTATAAAATTAAGTCAATGACCTCTGTTCAACTAGATGATACCCCGCACATTGTTGCGAAAATGTATTGTAGTATATTTTAATGAGATTTAATTGTATGAAACATAAATATTCATAGCAATAATACGAGAAAAAATTGATATGATTTACGTGTATTATTATTGTATAGTTGTAAAATGTTTTTTTAAAGCTCCACCCTCCGGCATTTATCCATTCGGCAGAAGCATATCCGAATGCAAACTGCAATATAGAAAGCTCGGGATTATATTAATGTATGTTACAGCACAACGATGTGTTGAAGAGTTTACAATACTGCTTGCATGAAGAAGCTTGAATCCGTGGAAACTAGCTATCTAAACAAGTAACTTTTCAAAAATATATAATGTAGTTGCTTGCATATTGAGAGAAATATTTATATTTTTTTTAAATCAATGAAATATGTTTGTGAGAACTAACTATTAGTCCTTGCAAAAAAAAGAACTAACAATTATAGATATACAAAAAACTACAAACCTGAGCGATATAAAATTAAGCTTCTCTATATGAATTCTTTTTTTTTTCCGAGGGTACGCAAATTGCGTACCTTAGCTTTATAGAAGGAGA